ATTAAATCTTTGAAAGAAAATGAGAGTCTTGATTTAAACTTATTCGAATTCGCTTTGACGTAACGAAGAGTGTTTTAATGAGTAAAGATTGAGTCCTTGAATTGAATTACCTCAATTTGGGGACTTATTATGTCACTAGACCATTTTATTGTATAAAGATTGAATCTTTTAAAGAAAATTTGAGTTTTGAGTATAACTTGTTCAAGCTCCCTAGGAAGTCGCGAACAGTGTTTCAATGACTGAAGATTAAATCTTTGTATGAAAATACCCCAATAAAGGTACCTTTTATGTCACTCCACCTTTTTAATGTATAAAGATTGAATCTTTGAAAGAAAATGTGAGATTTGAGTTAAACTTAATCGAGTTCCCATTGACGTCCCGAAGAGTGTTTTAAAGAGTAAAAAATGAATCTTTGAATGAAAATACAACAATCAAGGTACATATTATGTCAGTAGACCGTTTTAACGTAAAAAGATTAAATCTTTGAAAGCAAATGAGAGTTTTGTGCTAAGCTTATTCAAGTTTCCTTTAACGTCACGAAGAACGTTTTAATGAGTAAAGATTCAATCTTTGAATAAAATTACCTCATTCAAGGTACCAATTATGTCATTAGACCTATTATGTCGCTGGACCATTTTAATGTACAGAGATTAAATCTTTGAAAGAAAATGAGAGTTTTGAGTTAAATATATTCGAGTTCCCTTTGACGTCACAAAGAGTGTTTGAATGAGTGAAAGTTGAATCTTTAAATGAAATTTCCTCAATCAAGGTACATATTATGTCACCAGATCTATTTAATGTTTAAAGATTGAATCTTTGAAATAAAATGAGAGTTTTGAGTCAAATTCATTCGAGTTCCCTTCGACATTCCGAAGAGGGATTTTATGAGTAAAGGTTGAATCTTTGAATAAAATTATCTCAATCATCATCAAAAAGGGGGAGATTGTTGGCCTAAAGATTTTTATCTAAAGGTCAATCTTATGTTTTGATGATTACAAACCATTAATGATGTTTAAGTACTAATATTTTCATTGAGTGATATATAGTTAATCAATATTCAATCCTTAATGTTGAGTTAGAGAATCCATTCCAAATACTCAAGCTATGGATTCAAGGAAGCCTCAAAGTGCAAGAAATCAAAGAAAAACTCTGACTTCAAAGATCACACAAAGCATTTCAAAGAAACAAAGCAAGTCTTCATCAAGCCTAAACGATCATGTTCAAAGAATGAAGAAAAGGGTAGATAGGATGGTGAGAGCTTAAGATTTAATGTCAAAGTTTATTTGAATATATTTTGAAGCTCAATTTTAGGATCATGCATACTCATTCTAAATTCAGTTTTAAACTGCCTAAAATTTTCTCAATCTTTTTTTTTTAGCCGCCTCCATTTTAGAAAAAGAGCCTGCTCCATTTTTTTTAATGGAGCCGCCTCCATTTGAAATTGAGCCGCCTCCACTTCTTGCAAGGAGCCAGCTCCTTTAAGGGTTTTGAATTACAATGGCAATTTTTCTGCATTTAATTCTTCCAACTACTTCTAACAGCTATATTGAGGTGCGAATAAATATTTATACAGAGGTGTTGTCCAAAAAAAACTTCATTACACCGCTTGAAAGAATATTTTAAGCAGAGCATTCAAGAACATTCAATAGATATAAATTCCTTCTCTGAGCTTTCATTGAGTACTGCATTCTCTCATTCTAGATCTTGAGCTTCATTAATATTCTTATCTACTCTAGTTGTGAGCTTACACTTATACATCTATATTGAGAGAGAGATTCAATCTTGTATTTCAAATTACAAACTTTGCTACGATCTTGTAAGGGTTGGTGTGACCCAAAACGAAGTCTAGGAGAAGGGTGTTCTCCTAGCAAGGAAGAGAAGCAAGTCTTGCTTCAAATTGAAGGTTTGCTCTCCACCATTAAGGAGAAGCTTTAGTGAAATTGGGAAGTCTCAAGGGAGGACCTTGAGCCGAGGAGTAGGAGTTTCCGAACCTCGCTAAATTGCCGGGTCACTGTTTGCAATCTCTTATCTCTATCTCTCTTACTTATGCAATATACTGCTTGAATATTTCAATTGATTTGTGCTTAACAGTTTATTAGATTTAACAATTTTAAATTGCAAAAAAAATTGGCCCTTGACTCTATACACCCTTCCCCCCCCCCCCCCCCCCCCCCCCATAGAGTCAATTAGTGACTAACAAAATCTATTAATTATAAGTAATTCACAATTAAATCATAGAAGCATAAATACACACAGTCAAATAAATAACCCAATCTTGGCATTCCAACATCATATCAAATCAACAAGTATAATACGAAATATCAGTTAATTAAAATAAGACAATTAATCAAAACACCCAATTAAATCAAATAAATAATTTAAAATAAAATAAAAGTAATTAATCCTAATAAATAATTCTTTTAAAATATAAGGGTATTACACATCTCTCTCTGGATTGTCCAATAATCCATCTAAAAGTTCAGAGTTCTTTTCTGGCTTTAATTACTCCAATAAGATTGTGATGTCCTCATTTTTGGGAGTGGGAATTAGATCCTTGCCAATCAAACACTTGGGAGTTCCCCTCATCTCTACTGGCATTAAAGCTGCTGATTACAACATCTTGATTGATAAGATCACAGCAAGAGTCAATCACTGGGCATCCAAAAGTCTCTCTTATCCAGAAAGTTGGTGCTTATAAAATCAGTTCCTGTTTCCACACAAATGTACTGGTCTAGTATTTTCATTCTACCCTAGAAGGTGATTGATGATATCAACTCACTTCTAAGAAGGTTCCTATGGTCTGGTCCTGGCCTTAAGAAGATTGGTGCCAGAATTGCTTGGGGTTCAGTGTGCAAGCCCAAGGATGAGGGTGGGCTTGGGATCCCTAACTTGGAATTGGTCAATAAGGCAGCCATCATGAGGCATACATGGGAGCTCATTACTGGAAGTAACCAAAGAATTTGGGTACTGTAGTGCTGATCATATCTCTTAAAGGATAATAATTTTTGGACAAAGAATATCCCATAAATGTGCTCTTGGAGCTGGAGGAAAATACTTCAGCTTCAATAGAGGTCCCCTCATTGACGTCTTCAATGAAAAAATCATTCAAGCATTAGGATCTTCACTCACCACTAAAGTAAGCTCCTACATCCACTCCACAAATTGGGCATTTCCGCATCAACTAATCACTATTATTCCCGAGCTTACCTTGTTACAGCCACCAAGGCCAACTTCACAAGATAAAATCGTTTGGAAGGAGAGTCCCACTGGGGAATATTCACTCAAACCCACCATGTATGCCCTCTCACCAACCCATTCAGCTGTTCACTGGTCCAAGTTAGTATGGGACTCAATTGCAATTCCAAGACAGAAGTTGATATTATGGATTGCAGTACATAATTGGTTATCACCTTGGACAACAAGATCATGTCTAAAACTGAGCCCAAATCATGTCATCCCTACTCCTCCAAACCAGAATCTCATTCCCATTTATTTTTTGAATGTGAGTTCACTTCCCCAATATGGCAATTCATTCAGGACAGATGCAGATGCTACACAAGAAGTGATAACTGATCACAATTCATCATTTGGGCAAGTCAGCAAGAGCCCTAGAATTTTAATCTGTAAATTGGCCCTTGTAGCCATGGTGTATATCACATGGTAAGAGAGGAATAACAGGCTTTACAAGAACATACCTTCGTTGCAAGCAGCTGTTCTCAAATTGGTAGTGAACTCCATTGCCGGAATCCTCAAAGCTTCAAAAAAAAGAACCGATCTCAGTCCTTGCGAAAAAATGAAGCTTGGTTTCAGATCACCCAAGGCCACCTCCTCGACCACCTGACTAAGGAAATGGGGTGATCACCGCAATCGTTGATTACCCTATGTAACATAGGCCGGATTGTGGAAGGCATCCATTGCTAACTGCGAATGTGTAGTTACCAATTAAGTAGCAGTTTTAAGTAGTGTTCGTGGGTTCATGGCTTAGCCCTCTAGATCAAAATCCTCTCTTGCGCAACAGTAGGACTGGTCACAGCCAGTGAGTTAAAATTGTAAAAGTTAAAAATTAAAAAAGCAAAACTTTTGTATATACATACACACATACATACGAGACCAAATCAAAATCGACCAACTTTTTGCTCTTTTTTTTCTCTCTCTACACAAATATTTTCCTAACTTACAACTTATTGTATATCACAACATTTCCCTAACCTACATCCCAACTTTCTCCTTACCAACATCACACTTATTGTACAAATACATAAATAAACATATCTTAGTACAAATTGTATATCCCAACATTTTCCTAACCTACATCTCAACTTTTCCCTTACCAACATCTTAACTTTTTTCTTACCAACATCACACGATTCATTGCTTTATCTTGTTTGGATACACGTTAGAAAAATGTTGGGATACTAGTAAGGAGAAAGTTGTGATGTACGTTAGGAAAATATTGTGATGCAAGACCAACGTCCCAACAAAAAGAAGAAAAAAAAACGTCCCAACATTTTCCTAACAAGAGAAATAGATGAATAGTAGACCGTATTCTAAGAAAATATTGGGATGTACATTAAAAAATATTGGGATGTTGTTAAGGAGAAAGTTGGAATGTATAGATTTTGTATATATGCACTAAAAACTGACTTACTCTCTTTTGTCTTTTTTGACTAAGTGATGTGGCAAACTTTGTATGTATACACTAATACGTCTTCAGTAAAAATTGACTTACTTTCTTTTCTCTTTTTTGACTAATTGACGTGGCAAAATGGTATCCACATATCACTTATAGGCTGGGACATATTCCCCTGTTGCGCTGGAGAGGATTTTGATCCTAGGTCTTGGGTTGGGTTACATTTGCTTAAACTTTCCCAAAAAAAAAAATGTTTGGCTGAACTTTGGGAAAAAATAAATAATAATAATAATTTCAACCCAACTCATTAATTCGGATTAACCCGTCCCAATTGGACCCAATCTCCTTTGACCCAACAAGCGACCTCTCGACTCTCACCATTTCCTCTCTTGCGTTATCTACCTTATCTGAGCAATCGACAGACTATCCCAAACTCTCTTTCTCCTCTCTCTCCAAAACAATGGCGTCTCTGGCGCAGCAATTCGGTGGCCTGAAATGTTCACCACTCTCCACCTCTCGGCTCTCGAAACCCTTCAACAATCACTCTACAAAGCAAACCCAGAAGCCCAATTTGGTGAGAATAGTCTCGGCAGTGGCCATATCGAATGCACAGACCAAAGAGAGACAGAGACTCAAAGAGATGTTCGAACATGCCTACGAGAGGTGTCGTACGGTCCCACTCGAAGGCGTCTCCTTCACTGTCGATGACTTCCACTCCGCCCTCGACAAGTACGACTTCAATTCGGAACTTGGCACCAAGGTCTACTCTCTATATATATGTGCGTGTGTGTATGTAAATATATTCAGTTCAAAATTTCAAATATTATGCGAAATTAGAATGTATTCGTTGCTGGGTTTGAGCTAAAAATGTCTCTCAGACACACTTACAAACACTTTCCCATTGTATTTATCTTTATAATTTTCTGTTGAAAAAAATAGAGTTTGGTGCTAATGATGTGAATCAGTTGATGGGTTTCTTCAGAATTCGCTAGTGGCTATGTGCTATTAAACTCATAAAACTCATGTTTGCTATTAGCTGGTTTAAGTTAGTGACAATGTTTATCTGGATTTTAATTTTGTGAATGATTGATTAATTGGAGCTTTATACATGGAATCATATATAGATATGGTCAATCCAAGTTTTCAAATATTATGTAAAATTAGAATGTATTAGTTAATGGGTTTGAGCTTAAATGTCTCTCAGACGCACTTACAAACACTTTCCTATTCTATTTTTCTTTAGAATTTTCTATTAGAAAGACATAGAATTAGGTTCTATTGTTGTGAATCAGTTAATGGGTTTCTTCAGCATTCGCCCCTGAATTATGTGAAATTAGCTAGTGGTAATGTGCTATTTAAATTGATAATTTTTTTGTTTGCCATTATTGGGTTTAAGTTGGTGACTTTGAGGAAACGTTTTCCCGGGATTTTAATTTCATGAATGATTGATTAATTGGAGTTATTCAGGTCATGTATTTCTGGAGTTCGTTTGGTTGCTGGGAAAAAAGAAATGTAAAGGAAGAAGAGAAGTTTACAAGAGCCCTGCAAAATCCATGAAATTAACCCAGCTGAGCGTATTAGGGCTAGTTGGGCAAAGTTTTACAGATTGGAACAGATTAGTTTATGTTTATTTATGATTTTTTAACAGAAGTTCAACAGAGGCCCAAATGCACTTTATTTGTTATTCTTGGAAAAACAGTTATTTTCAACTGCTAGTACTTTTTAGAAATTTAATGGAAGGGTAATAATTTGATCTCCTTCTTATTGGATGTGTCCAATCTTGGAAGTATCTCCAAAATGCTTCGCCTACGTTTATCATAGATGGGTTTAGCTGCATGACATAGTTTCTTACTGAATCGTATATGATTTTGATCTTGTTTAGTTACATATCTTATGACCATTCAAATACTTTCTTTAGGTCAGAGGAACAGTATTCTGTACAGACAATAATGGAGCACTAGTTGACATTACGGCCAAATCTTCAGCATATTTACCTGTCCGAGAAGCATCCATTTACAATATTAAGCATGTTCAAGAGGCAGGCATAGTTCCTGGTTTGACTGAGGAGTTTGTAATTATTGGCGAAAATGAAGCTGATGATAGCCTAATCTTGAGCTTACGGTCAATCCAGTATGACCTTGCATGGGAACGATGTAGACAGCTTCAAGCTGAAGATGTTGTTGTCAAGGGTAAGGTGGGTATCTGCAAGGCAGAAACTATGACTTTATTTATTTATTTATTTTCCTTCATGTTTTGAATAAATTATAATACAAAGTTAAATTGGGCAAAGGTATAATACAAAGTTAATGAGTATTATTCTTGGTGATCCTAAGATCGTATGCTTGTTGATTTATTACACTGTTCAACTTTTGCTCATTGAGTCCCTTGTTATGACATTTTCCTGCTGTCAAAACTGATTGTCTTGTACTATTTGCATGCTAAAAGTTTATTGTTTGATGACTAGTTCTTCTCTCATTTCTTGAGAATGTATGCAGGTTGTTGGTGCAAACAAAGGTGGAATTGTGGCAGTGGTGGAGAGCCTCCGTGGGTTTGTTCCATTCTCACAGATATCAACGGTTAGTTCTTCAACATGATATGCACATTTCCATTAGTAATGCTTTTATAATTGAATTCAGCATTCCCCATGTGATTTTGTGCAACAAATCTGATAATCCTGTTTGTTACTTTGTTCACCAAAGCAACATTCTCCCTTATTTCATACAAAGCAATAACAAAGCCATGAATTATAGCCATATTATTTGTCAGTTCTATGTTATGATCTGACATGAACTTGGTTTTTCTCCTCAAAGTTTCGGGCATGTACGCATCACATTTGACAATTCATCTAGAGACTGATAGGCTTCTATTGTCAAGTGTTTCTGAAAGGCTTTTAAAAAAATATACATACATATATATATATATATAACGGAAGGTTTGTTTGTAATAGTAATAAATTATTTCCATCTCAATTATGAAGAAGATTGAATCCCTGATCTTCTGGGCCATTTTTGTCACTATATGCCCGGTCTGAAAAATGGCAGTGTTTTTTGTGAATGCAGGAAAGTATAATGCACATTTCTGGCAAATGATAGTCTCTGGTGTTTACGCTGAATAGAATAGAAGATGGTTGTATTCATCTTCTGCCCTTGTGATAGTATAATTTGAAACATACATGGACATATATATTATATTGAAGCTGAATGGCTGTAATGTTAACAATATACTGTGGACTTAATTGGCTTGAGTCTTTTAGCCTTGTTATAGAATATTGTTTTCCGATCCTTATGGACTAATATGATTTTGTTCTTTACTGTTCAATATTTGTAAGGATCTTTAAGCATATTGCAAAAGATGCGAGTAAGTTATTCAATAAGCTTGTGCGTTATTCTGAATGATTTCAGATTCGTAGTAATTGATTCTTTCATTCTCTTCTCTTCTTCTTCCCACAATTTTTGTGACAACTCATCACTTATTTGAGTTCCCTTCTTTTACTTTATATCTTGTTTTCCTATTCAACTTCTTAATTAATTTACTCCTGCTTTCCACTAAGTCTCATCTTATGTTGCATTTGGGAGCATGGAACCTGTCCCTTGGAATTGGAATGCGAGGAAAATTATTTAAAAGTTCCAACTTATTTTCTTCCAATTCCAAGGCACTAAATCCAAGTTACCAAACATAGGTTTAGTGTTATCTTGAATTCCAAAGTCATTATTATTGCTTCTTATTTGTATCAGAAATCAGTTGCAGAGGAGCTTCTTGAAAAGGAGATTCCTCTTAAGTTTGTGGAGGTGGATGAGGAACAGTCTAGGCTTGTCCTGAGTAACCGTAAAGCCATGGCTGACAGCCAGGCACAGCTTGGAATTGGATCAGTTGTCATTGGAACTGTCCAGAGCCTGAAACCATATGGTGCCTTCATCGACATTGGTGGAATAAATGGCCTTCTCCATGTTAGTCAGATCAGTCATGATCGTGTCTCAGACATTGCAACAGTACTTCAACCTGGCGACACACTCAAGGTATGCCTCAGCCTATGATATTTTATTTCAGTCATTGGTTGAAAATATCTGTTCATCCTTAGAAATTAATATTTGTATAATAAATCTCTTAATGTAGGTCATGATACTGAGCCATGATCGTGAGAGAGGCCGGGTGAGTCTGTCTACTAAGAAGTTAGAACCTACTCCCGGGGACATGATTCGGAATCCAAAGCTTGTTTTTGAGAAGGTAATTTTTAAGAGAAACTTTTTGTTTTTCTTTTTATCTTCTCTATTCTTGTTTTTATTTCTATGTTTTTTCTAGAGGTTTGACTAATATAAGTTGATGAAGATTTTGATATGACCAATATTTTGTAATTAGTCATCTAGATACACTTCAGTTCCTTTTTGATCTCCTATATATTACATGCTTCCTTCCCACCTTATGTGGGTAGAGAGATATAACTGTAAATGTTTTTGACTTTTTTTCCCTTGGATAGGCGGAGGAGATGGCCCAGACATTCAGGCAGAGAATAGCTCAAGCAGAAGCCATGGCTCGTGCTGACATGCTGAGATTCCAGCCTGAGGTATCTGTTCAGTTATTCCTTCAATTAATTTTCCCCCCCTCTCGGTGCAAATAAGAAAAGAGAGTTGCTGACAAGATATATATATATATATATATATATAAATAAATAAAAGTTGGTTTTGGCTCTCCATTCTATTGAACAAAGGTGGATCTTTCCAAGTAATGAATATAAAATTTATGTTGCTGCAATTGGTCTATTTCCCTCTTCGTTTATTTGCTACCTTTATCATAAATTTTGTTCAAATCACATTCACCCTCTCTCTAGCTATTTTACTTGTATCTCGTTCAGCAGTATCAGAAGTACAGATGACTAGTATGGTAGGGTCTATTGTCTTTTCATGTTTTATTCAGGTCAATTTATTGCAAGGGTATGCATCATATCAGATTCATAGCAGTGGGTATAGATTTTACTGGTTTGGTGACTAGGATTTATTCAATGTTATGATGATAATGCATCAGACTTCTATATCAACGTCTCAGCATTTCCATAAGTCATTACTATGTTTTTTTTTTTTATATTTTAACCTCATTACTAGGTTTGTGATTCTTGTTATGGATGTGTTTTATATAAAGTTAGTCCTTCTTGAAGAAACTAATTCAGTCTCTTTCCCTACTTTTGCAGAGTGGATTGACTCTTAACTCCGATGGGATATTAGGTCCGCTTACTACGGACTTGCCTGCAGAGGGCCTAGATTTAAGCGATATTCCTGCGGATGTAGATTCTTGATTGGAAGTTACATAATCTTTTTTTATGTTTTCTTTGTAGTTACATTTTTTTTTTCAAGGGTGGTTGGTAAAATCTCAAGTCATTGTGCTAAATAGACCACACCTTCATTCTTGTAATGATCTGTGCCTTGAGTTCTTACACTATATTTGCATGTGCTCATAGGGCTGACACAATATCAGGACAGTTACTGTACTTGTTCAAGTACCTCTGATTGTATCTTGGAATGCAACTTGCACCATCATGTGGTCTCAATGCAAAAATGATTCAAAATGTCTTACTGAAGCTGGCTCCTGCTGGCTGGCACACTAACCAGAGCATTGACTGAGCTTATGGCTTTCATTAATGGATTTTATAGACGTTAGGTGTTCTAGTTTAATGGTAAAGTATAAAGTATTTGCTAATATTGATCCTATGTGCACTGGTGGGACAGGTTGACCAAATAGAGAGAAGAACTTTTGACATTATTATCACAAAGGGATTATTATTTTTTGACTAGGAGTCATTTTTTGGTGTAATGGTAACTATTCGTGTAAGAGCAATGACTTGTGCAAATAATTTCAAAGATTAGGTTTATATCCAGTCTATTCCTTCTAGTGCCCTCGATCTGGATACTTTTCGATTGGAATATGCACCTGCATTGTTATGTAGAAATTAGTTATTCCCATATTTGAACAAATGCCTGTAAATCTGGAATTGATGATTTCATGTTTATCAGCTTGAGCTTCAAATAAGGAAAAGTACTTTAGAAATGCTTGCATGAAAATCCCAGTTGTGATTTTGTTTTGGGTAAATATCCCCGAAGTCATGTTGGAAGCAGGGAGAATAATGCAAAATATACAGCTCTGCTGTTGTCAAATTTTTACCCTAGTAAACTACTTTTGAGGAAAACCCAGTCCTTTATAACAGGGTAATAGGCTTCCTAGTTATTGAATCATTCTGCAAAAGGAGTTGGATACTAAGTTAGTCCAAAACTTTCAAATTTTATGTTTGATACTTTGGACCATGATATCCACAACACAAATAGTAATATATAGGTGTTGCCTGTAACAGAGATGCAGAAAGCTATCAACATCCAACTCCCCAACTAGGATCCAAATGTATTCAACAATGAAGAGTCAGAGATACAAGGTCCGAAAGACTGCATTTATATGAGTGAGACATCAACATCCGACTGCATTTATGTGAGTGTGGCATCATGACGGTAGTGCAAAAAAAAACAAAAAATCTCTATTACATGTGTATGTATTCAAAACAATAATTTTTGCCCATCCATACAATGACTTCTACATGAAACACATGGTTGTAGCCTTGCACTAAAAGATTCAGTATCAGAGACACCAATATCATTTTTCTTGTACAAAGGTGTCAATGTAAGGACCAGTTATGGAGACCGGTTTTCGAACTTCTGCTTTCTTCCTCTCATAAGATGACTAAGTTTCTTGTTTCTTGTTTGTTTTTTTGCCTTTCTTCTGTTTTTGCTTCAACTGAGTAAGCCCTGCAGCTGCGATTTTTACGTTGCCAATAATTGCAGCAACCAGCTCAGGATCTGTACATGCCTTCATCAGTTCCTTCTCTCTGTTTGTTGCTTCTGGCACGTGACCGAACAAGTTCATGGCCATTTTCGCAGCTGCATAGAAAATTATTAATGAAAAAGGGTCAAGCCAACAAGATAGTAGTTTAACGGTTCATAATATGGTCATGTATCAGTCACAATCTTACAAGAGTATGTAACATTGAGTGAATTTCCACAGCAGTAGTTGGAATTACTGAATTTCTTTCCATTAAGAAAATAAAATTGAAAACTACTACATCCAATAAAAAAAGATTTGGCCACAAAAGAGAAAACTATAAACAAGCAAGTAGTAAATTAATAAAGAAAAAAGAAAAAGAAAAAAAAAAAACTGAAAATTGAATAAATTAAATACCTTTTCCTCTCTTTGCCGTGCCAGGAATTATCTTAACACGATATTTGTATGATTGTACTGCACTATAAGGACCACAAACAGGCACAGCATATAGGAGAATATCATTAGGCAGTGGATTACCAGTCAAGTAATCCACGTCATTTAATTTCTCTTTCTCTTCTTCACCTATCTCATTAATGTCTTCTTCCTCCATGGCTATCTTGTCCATCTCATTAGCAGTATTATCCAAACTGCCGTTGGGATTATCCTTGAGTCCACCATTTGCATGATCATGCACAAGCACTTCGGGGTGTGCTTGACAATCTCGAGACAGATGACCTGGCTTTTTACATTTATAACATAATTTTGGAGCATCATCAAGGCCTGCCATTAGAAGCAAATGTATGTTAAAATTATACATATATTATTAAAAGGTAGCTTACTCTTGATCGTAACCAAAAAATAGAGAAAAACATAATCATGTATTGGCTAAACCTTTCACAAATAACAAAGACTTAATCCAACTAATGGAATTATCAGAGAGCTTGACCCACAAAATTAATGAAGATGATAACACCATGATCATTCACTCTAAAGACTGCATGGATACATGTTATTAAGAGCTTAAACAAGGAAACAGTCCATACAACCTGTAAAACCACCACCAACAAAGAGGTGAGACAAACATGGAGGTGAAATTATCAACTATTCTACTTTCGGCTCTAAAGATGCAAGAAATTTTCTCTTCTATTCTTGGAAAGTTTTTCTTAGACTCCAAACAACCCTGCCTCTTCTAGGCTTCTCTCCTTCTATTTATAGTAGTTTATATTCTACCTAAAGCTATTTGCTTGGTTTCCGGGTTGGGCCTCGATGGGCCTGACTCTTCTTTTTGGGATTTATTCCTTGAGGATCCATTTCCTTATTAGATACGATTGGGCCGAGTTTGATTTAATTTAAACCTATTGGGCTAAAATGGCCCAATGGGTTTTTGGTCTTTCATCTGCCCCCTAATTTCGCTCTATTATTTAGGGCGAAATTAATGAATGATGATGATGGTAAAACTGGCGGTTGAGTGTGATGGCGTGGGGGAGCGTGGACGGCTGGCGCACGTATCTGCGCTTCAGGTCTTGTGCTATCCTTATTACTTCGTCCCTGATATGCCTGCGTCACCCCCCTAATAAGCTTGATGTGACTCCATGTTTCTTTCTCTTCTGCCATTTTCAGCTTCGCACCCTTTTTCTGAGTTTAGTCAACAAGCTTCCTTCCGGCGAGGGTTTAGGATTTCCGGCTTATTGTCTTCTCGACAACAATTCCTTCTGTTTCGTGCTCCTTCTCCATCCTTCAAGGTTAGTTTTATTCTATTCTTCTTTTTCCACCAAAGTTTTTTCCTTCTTTCTTTTTTGTTGGCATCTCCTAGTCTCTACTTTTTCTTCCCGCCGTTGAGTGTTATTCTTTAAACATGGTGTTCGACCTTGACGCTCTTCGCGTTTGTTGCAATATTCCTGATGATGTTACCACTCGGCTATACTTAAACGAGGAGGGTGCTAGTTCCGGTAGGGGCCTTGCCGGCGGTGAGATTTTATTCACCGCGTCCCAGCTATGTGTACTTATGTTTCCTCTCCACCCAATGTTTCATTCCATCCTCATGAAATTAGGACTTGCTACATTGCAAGTAAACCCAAATTTTTATAGGATAGTGTCTACTTTGATCCTTCTGAATCAAGCTAGGGGTTACAGCTAGGTGTGTTTGATCTTCTATTCTGTTACAAGGTCGTTAGGATTAGTAAGACCGGCGTTTGGTATCATTTCCATCCAATTACCGATCAAAAAATCTGTAACGACAATCCTGACTCGGACAAAAATTAGAAAAAAACATCTTATCGCTGTTGGGGATAATTAGAAGTCCCCTCAGTCAGTTCGGATGAACATTCCTAGGAAGTTTGGGATTTGCACTTTGCTTGTTTATTCCCCTTACAAACATCACAAATATGAGTGCACATGTCCCACTTGCCTTCCTCTTTTCTATGACTTTCTTGCTCATCATTTGGGGCTTTCTGCAGATCTTTTAGACTTTGAGCTGTGCAGGACGAGGCTTAAGGTCTTGAGGGAGTCCGTTTGGAACGACATCCCTTCCCTCAATTCTTTCTTAACTGAAAAAGGTTTGAAGAGTATTGCCATTGAAGGTTCAGAGATGGAGGACACTCAGATTCTTACCTTTAGGAGGTCAAGGAGGACTGCTCAGGCAGGTACTTAGGCTTCTGGGGACCATCAGGCTCGTCCGGACCCGAATCCTGTTTCTACTACTTTGCCATCTCCCTCTGTCTCGGATACATCCCGAGAGAAAAGGGCGGCGAATAGAGATGCTGAAGAAGGTGAAGAGTCTCATGTTTTGAGGTGTAGGGTGACTCCTATCCAAAGGAACCAGGGGATTGTGATAAGGGACCCCTAACCGACTGATCCTTCACCGGATGCCAGTGCCTCCGGACCTCCTGCTACTCCTCTCACCCCTTGGAGGCATCTCTTTATGAGGGATGATAGGATTGCTATGTCAATGGAGGACACCATGTTCAAGGATGGGCCCACTGCCCTGGCCTATTACAAAAATATGTGGACTCCCAAGGACTTGGAAGCTTAGGCCCGACTTAGTAGGGAGGAGACGTTCTCCCGGATTCCAATGGGTGGTGTTGAGGTATTTTTTCTATTGTCCTTCCTTCTCCCCCAGTTGTGTACTTTTTTCTAAAAATTAGCTCATCACTTATTCACTTGACTTCTTAGATGCCTCTGCTGGTCTTGCAGACTCTCTTTGGGATCGCTGCCATGCAGATGACGATCGAGTAGGGTGACAGGAGGATTATTAGGCTCTGCTCCAAGGTGAAAAAGGCTGAGGAAGATTTGCAGAGCACTGAGGCTCAAGCAAAGGCAGCTAAAGAGAAATGTGTTGCTGCCGAAAGTGAGCGTGCTGAGATGGTCGGCCAATTAGAGGTCGAACGAGGGGCTCGGCTTGCTCTGGAGCATAAAATTTATGAATTGGTTGGGGAGAGGGCCTATCTTCTGGAGCTCATTGGCAGGGTGGAAAATAGAAAGAAAGCTATGCACGAACAGATTTCCCGAATTGGGGCCATTCATTATGCCAATGGCTACAGGGATGGGTTCATGGACCATACCAATCCGTCCAACCCTGGCAAAGCGTACAACGGTCCTGAGGATTGTGATAGTGATATGAAGATCGATCCTCCCGACTTCTACAAGGATCCCTCTCCTGATGAGGTTGAAGGGGTCTTCACTGAGTGCAAGAATGTTGTTGCAGCTACAACTGGCCCTCTAACTCTGCCTCCTTCCTCCTCTGACAAGGGTGGGCTTACTCTAGCTCTTGTTACTTCTGGCTCTAGCCCCGAGGCAGCAGTTGAATTGGACTCTCTCTCTCTCATGAGGAGAATATTGGAGAGAATGCATAGATAGCTGGCCATTGTCATTTTTCACTCTCTTTTTTTTTTTGTGAATGAAGTAAAAGAAAAAACGCCTTGTACACTTTTGAACAATTAATGTTAGATATTTTTGTCAATTTCCTTTTTGCTTTGCTTTCCTTATTTTAGAAATTTCTCCTAGTGTTTTGCAATCGGCCACTCTTGCCATTTGCCACTTTACTTTTATTTTGAGAAATTTTTCCAAGTGTTTGGCGATCGGCCACTCTTGCCATTTGCCGCTTCACTTTTATTTTTTAGAAATTTCTGTAAGTGTTTGGCGATCGGCCACTCTTGCCATTTGCCACTTTACTTTTATTTTTTTGAAATTTCTCCAAGTGTTTGGCGATCGGCCACTCTTGCCATTTGCCACTTTACTTTTATTTTGAGAAATTTTTCTAAGTGTTTGGCAATCGGCCACTATTGCCATTTGCCACTTTACTTTTATTTTTCAGAAATTTCTGTAAGGTGTTTGGTGATCGGGCACTCTTGCCATTTTGCCACTTTACTTTTATTTTGAGAAATTTTCAAAGTGTTTGGTGATCGGCCACGCTTGCCATTTTGCCACTTTACTTTTATTTTGAGAAATTTTTGGAAGTGTTTGGTGATCGACCCCTCTTGCCATTTGCCACTTCACTTTTGATATCATGCACAAACGGTTCAGTAAGCTTCTCTTTTTCAACAATGTTTCTTTTTCATAGCTTTCAACATCATTTCCGTACATTCATATAGATCTAACCGCAAGGAAAACTAAATAAAAATCAAGAGATAATGCAACTCTATTGGTAATAACTCTTTAGATAGGTTGCATTCCATGGTTTGTCAACTTACCTTCCAGCTAATGTCGTCTCCAAGCTCTATGCCCCCTTCCCCACGACTTCTGTAATTTTGTAAGGCCCTTCCCATGGAGATTTCATTTTTTGGGATAATGCCCCACTACCCTCTTCAGTACCAATTCCCCGAGGGCGAAGTTTTTGTGCCTTGCCTTTTTGTTGTGGCTGTTCACGAGTGTTTGTTGGTATAAAGCAATTCTGATTGCTGCCGAATCCCTTTTTTCCTCTATCAGATCGAGATTAAATTCTAGCATTCCATTGTTCTCCTCTTTATTCCATATCAAACTCCGTGCAGCTGGCACCGCTTGTTCAGTCGGTATTACGGCATCCGCGCCATAGGCCATGGCGAATGGACTCTCCCCAGTTGGTCTTCTTGGCGTTCGATATGCCCATAGGACGTTCGGGAGTTCGTCTAGCCATTTGCCTTTCTTGTCCTCCAGCTTTTTCTTTATACAATCGAAAATTGTCCTATTTGTGATCTCAGCTTGTCCATTTCCCTGTGGGTGGCTTACTGCAGCTAGTTTCTGATTGATCCCATGCTCATCGAGCAACTTCCTCACATGTCGGTTGTCCAAATTCGTACCGTTGTCCATGACGATCAACCTGGGAACTCCAAACTGGCAAATTATGTTGTTCCGTACGAAGCGCCTCACTTGCGTATGCTTTATACTAGGATAGGGTTTTGTCTCCACCCATTTGATGAAGTAATCTGCAGCGAGCAGGACATACTTGTTTTATGATCTTGTCTTTAGCAGTGGCCTAACCAAATCCATCCCCCAATTTGCGAAAGGCCATAGGTTGGCCATTACATGCAGGTTCTTAGGAGGTTGGTGAATTAGTGGCCTGAACCTTTGGAATTTGTCACATCTTCTGAAGTACTTTTCTGCACCTCGTGACATATGTGGCCAGAAATAGCCTTGGGTCATGGCTTTGCGCGCCAAGGATCTGCCCCCTGTGTGATTGTCGCGCACCCCTTCATGAATTGTGCGTAGGACTTGCCTAGCTTCCGATGGGGTGACACACTTTATGTGTGGGCCTGAGAAGAATCTTCGATAAAGCTGGTGATGAAGGATTGCATATTTTGTTGCAC